CACATACATACTACAAATATACACACCCGCGCGTGCAGGCACACACACATACACGCACACACACATACACACACACACACACACACACACACGCTCTCGCTCTCACACACACACGCATACACACACACACACACACACACACACACACACACACCCACACACACACATACACACACACACACAAATACACACATTTACATACGCACATACTTAAACCCAGCAATAACCACCTTTCCCAAAAATGGGGCTATCATTATCTGTAGGATAACGTGACATTTTCGATTTTGTTTGCTTTCCTTGCGTGTATAATTTTTAACATTTCCTATTTGATTTTTGTTAACAAGCACAATTATCATGATTTGGAGTCCTGTCAGATTGTTGTTTTATCAATATTTTATGTTTTACTGGTGTAGTCCCGTTCTTTCCTTTTTCCATATTAAACAATTTGCTTTAATCACTGTGCCAACTGACACCGCTTTCAAATTAATTGTTCATTTGTATTTAGGAGGCCTTGAACTTATACAAAACATATACTGGAGTAAAGATATTGCCCGCACACGCCGATATCCCGGCAAAATAAAAGAAAAATAAACATTCGTTGTTCAAGGTTTGCTAAAAATCGCTTGAACTTGAAATAGTTTTTTTTTCTAAACTCATAAATATAACTTAGCTTGAATTTACCATGCATCATTCGGAGCCCTGGCTGAATCACTTTTCTACCCCTTTTTAACCAATTTGTGCTTTAAATCAGTTTCATCATGTACAACCTCCACTCACCCCATAGGCCCTCCTTCAAGCAACATGATTCCAGACCATAGTCATTCTAGAACTTAATAAGTCACTCTTCCGTTGTGCATATTTTTTGCATATTTATTCATACCAAAGGCTCTCACACTTTCGTGGGACACTCTGTACTCTTCGAATTACAATTTTCATTCCCCCCCTCTCTCTCTCTCTCTTTCTCTCTCTCTCTACCTCTCTTTCTCTATTTCTCTATTTCTCTCTCTTTCTCGCTCACTCTCTTTCTCTACCTCTCTATCTACTCTCGCTCTCTCTCTTTCTTTCTCGGCATATGTGTATGTGTGTGTGTGTGTGTGTGTGTATGTGTGTGTGTGTGTGTGTGTGTGTGTGTGTGTGTGTGTGTGTGTGTGTGTTTCTCTCGATCTCAGTCTGCCTGTTAGTCTTTCACTGTAACAGTGTCTCTCTATTTATCTTGCTCTCTATCCCACTTTCGCTCTCTCTCTTTCGCTCTGGTTCCCCTCCCCCCTCTGTCTTTCTCTTTCTGCCTGTCTCTTTCTCTCTTTCTAATTACTTCTTGTCCTATCTCTGTTATTTTTATCTAAGCTTCCGTCTCTTTTATTGATGAAAATGTACCCCCCATGCGGTCTTTGAGCACTCTGTTTAAACTGCCTCGTACCTTCAATACAAGTGCAACCCCGCGGTTAATAACACTGTTTTAAACAATAATTCTCTAAAAATGTTAACTGTGCTCAATTACAGCCCAGGACCGGATTGAAAGAAAAGAACGGCCGCAAAAAAACACACCGCTGATTACAGCCCGTGACAATTACGCTGTGCGAAATCTGAGCGGTTTTTTTTGTTTTTTTTTGTCAGTGATTCATTCGACCTACGCAGGCAACGTTGATTCAAGGGAAGTACAACTTTGTTCACATGCGCGCGCACTACGCTTGCGCACTTAAATTGGATAGATGCTTATCCGACAAGTTGGACCTGCATAATCGTATCAGGGCAGAATAGCAAACTCAAAAACATGAACTAAAAGAAAAAAAATTCAGAGCATTCTTGTTTTACTGAGATTAATTAAGCGAAAGAGTTGGAATCATATTTTGTTGTCATGCGCCTCACGTTTTATCTGTTCTATGTTATTGTTGTCTCGCCATTATTGTTGTTTTTAGACGAACAATCTTTCTCTTAATCTGACCCTCAACAATAAATAAATAAATAAACAAA